AAATTTTTTAAAAAAAGATTCTTCGATCATCAGAGTTCTTTGATTATGCAGCAGAAAACCACAAAATTGTACTTTCGTACCTTACATCATTTTAGTGTCATCATTAGGTTTTGTCTTGTTCATGCAAGTACATTCGAATTTTCCCAACTCTCTAACAACTTCTAAATGACACAAGGTGAATCACAGGAAACAGCCATGTTCTCTGTACCTTCTGGGGCTCTCCCTAGTCTAGCAGCTATAAGACCCTGAACTGAGAAGTAAACATACTTGAATTCCAGTCTGGACAGCACACTTTTCTTACCTAGAAAATGGGGATAGCCTTTACTCTACACCTATATAAAGCATTTAGTACATAACCTGGCATACCACATGGGGGGTGAGGGGGAGGTGTGTGTATGAGATAGTGTGGTTCCAATAAATATTATCACTGCCTCTGAGGAACTCAGGAAATCTGGAAGCTTTCTCCTGTTAAGTGGTAGCTGCACAGAGAATTCAGTATAAACAGTGTTTTCAGCTGAGAAGAAAAATCCAATAAAGGAAAGATACTGCAGTAGAATAAACCTAATGATTTCAACATATCAAGATTCCTGAAATCATCAGGGCTCTTCCTTAGGGAGATATAGAGTATCTCTTTCCCCACTATGATGCCACTGCTCTGAAGGCTACTATCATAGAACAAGTTCCTTCCCTAAGCTTGGTACAGTTGCTTATTTTCCTGACAAAAAGACATGCTTGTACTCATTAACAATTAATCTTCATCAACCACTCCATGGAACTGTTAAGTTGGGGAGATCTTTAACACTAACTATATATAACTGTCTCCAAAGGATGGGAATTAGAGAAAGGAGTAAGTATGTGATAAAGGGAGTTTACTAAATGCATATTTAGAGTTGCTAATGAAAATTCATTTTAAATTTAGGGCAGTGCTCCGCAATAAAACAGAATCCAAACCACAAATGCAAGCCAAAGACACAATATTACATATTCTAGTAAGCAATGTCTCAGCAACATTTCAAGTGTTCAATAACCTCAAGTGGCAACTGCGCTAAACAGTGGAGCTCTGTCATAGCTACACATTGGTTTTTGGGAGGTGCTGGAGATAGAACACAGGACACTATACAAGCTTATTCTCTTCCACATGTAGCTGTATCCCGAAGCTCCAGACTGGTTTTTTATAGAAGGAATCTTTCAATTTTGACACTTCACATAGTTTTAACCCCAATAAATTGACATTTCTAATTTTTTAAAGGAAAGGGAATTGTATGACACTAAAAGAAACAACACAAAACAGACTGAGTAAAATTGATAATTTGAGTCAAATAAATGGGCTACTTGGGTCTCATAATACAAAATAAATGGTGATTTCAAAGCTTGATCAGAGCTAAGTGGTTTTCCAAGTTTTTCCTCTGGCATTACAATATATTCCTGTAATTGTTCCTGAAAAACATGATGCTAAAAAGTAGAGGCATTAATGGGAAATAAAAGGAATAGAGGAACTAAGTTAACACCAACCCAAGGCAATAATCTGATACAAGAACAAGGATCACAATGAGACAATGGGCAGCCTAGTCTTTCTCAAAAATAAAAAATGGCACTGCTGTAGATTAAGACAACTTAGACAAGCCTGGTGTGGTGTTGCTATGGTGCAATAGTATTGAACTTAGTAAAAAGTCCTTACTGATAGGACAAGCATGTTAAGTATTTAAGATGTATCTTGTGTTTTCAACTTATTTTCAAAAGCTAGAGAATGAATATGGCAAAGTTCTTGAGTCCAGGTAACAAACAGCTCAATGCTATATTCATGTTCATTATATTATTCATTCAACTTTTTCCACATTCCTCAACACCAATGAGGAAAAGGAAAGACAATTCTAGATTAAGACAACCAAATGTGCTAACTAATTAAATTTTCTAGTTCACATAAGACAACTAAAAAGGCATCTTTGAAATAACAGAAAATGGACTGGATGTTGCATGACATTAATGAAATATTGCTAATTCTCTGAGGTTTGACCATAGTATTTTGGTTATGTACGATAATATCCTTACCCTTTGACAACGATGGCTGAAGCAGTTAGGAATGAAGTATCACAATGTCTGCAACGTTCTTTAAACTAGTTGGGGGGGGGATATACAGTCTCTACCTTGATAGAAAATACAGAAAAATGTTAAGAACTATTTAGCCTACATGGTATGTTTTTTTGGGTGATCATTCTATTCTTTTGGTTTATAAGAGAAAGTTCAAAACCTATAAAAATGAAAATAAAAGGACCTATCAGGCATGGTAGGTGCACGCCTTTAATCCCAGCACTGGGAGGCAGAGGCAGGCAGATCTCTTTGAGTTCCATGCCAGCTGGGGCTACAGGGAGACCCTATCTCAAAGAAAAAGAGAGAAAGAAAAAGAAAACCAGGGCATATCCACATTCCCTGCCTGACATGGTGGCACAAGCCAGTAATCTCAGCACCTGGGAATGCTGAGGCAGAAGATCTCCCTGAGTCTGAGACCAGTCTGGAATATATCTAAAGAAAAAAATCCATTTTTCTAAATTTCTGCAAAAAAGATAAAGCCACAAGTCAAAAATACCTATACTTTCCTCCCCAAGAGACTCTTACTAAAAAGAATCAGCCTGGATATAACTTAGCTTTACTTTTATGTCCACTCTGGGGCCACACATATATAAATAGCCTTGTTCAAGACCTGCAGTGCTGCAAGTACAGGAAAAACAGATGGTTACTATTTTTGAAGAAGCTCAAAACACTAAGACATACAACAAATTCTTATTTTCCAACCAAATTTTCCATATCAGTTTGATTTCTGGGGTTTTATATCTAGACATCAGGTCTCAAATCCGCTTAACTTGAACACTTCTCAACATTTAAAAAGTCTCTGATAGAGTTAAATCTCGAATACTAGTAAGGCAAGAACCATTGCCTACTTGCCACTTAGGTTATGAGTATTATTCAAATAGAAGTGAAAGATTTTATATTTTAAAATGATGGGGGAGCTGAGCGTGGTGGCGCACACCTTTAATCCCAGCACTTGGGAGGTCAGCCTGGTCTACACAATGAGTTCCAGGTCAGATGTGGCTGCAGGGAGACCCTGTCTCAAAAAGACATTAAAAAAAAGATGGGGGTTCAGATAGGGGAGGCAGTGTGTATGAAATGCACAAAATTTCAGTTAAAAATAAGGGGAAAAAAACCGAAAGATTTCTGTATGGCTAGGCCTTAAGTTTCCCTAAGAAAAAGAACCTTATTAACACTTTTATTCCAATAAATTCAGTATCTAGCCAATGGTAAGGTAATAACCACTATTACATTGTAGGTGCCAAAGGAAATCATCAGGAAGCTGGTCTTCTATATTTTAAAAAACTAACAGATAGTATACCTTTTAGCCCCTACCACAGTTGCCTACCTTGAACTGATAACTGAAAGTAAAACAGCTTAGCAGCTCAGTACTTATAAATGACTTAACTGCTATTAGTTATCCATCATCTTGTCCTACAAGAGGGGGAACTTTATTTTCTATTTCACAAATACTTTCTACTTCAATCTACACTGAAATTGAAGAGGTTGTTTCAGCAGTGAGAAAGCATATGCATTTAATGTAAAAAGACAAGACATGAATCCCCAGGGAAAGAGAGCAATAAAAACAATAGTAAAGGGAGAAAAAATTCAAAGCATAAGCCACAAATGATTTACATAATTGATGTGGGGCTGATTCTTACTGATATACAATTAAGTATATTTTTAGTTTCAATTATTTCTGTCACATCAGTACATTCTGAGAATATTGATAAAATCCCATAAAATTGAGTTTTCTATTAAAAGAAGAAGATAATGACAATCCATAGCACTTCAGAGGGTGGAAAAAAAACATGCCAGGCTGCTAAGAGTGTTACTCAAAGGTGCATATTTGTTTATTTTTCATATGGCATAAACAAACCTCCTTTCCAGATTTTTTTTCACAAAGTCTGGTAACTAAAACTGAGGAAATATTCTAATATGAAGGGTGTTGACCAAGCTTTGTGTGATTTCTAGAAAGATTCAAGAGGTAAACAGAGCCCCAGAGGTAACCATGTGATTAGAAACCAATTAAGTTAAGCAATTACTGAAGCTGCTCTCTCTCCTTTGGGCAAGAATGGATCACAAGTGAGACTCTGGTATAAAAATGAAAATGCTTACATGCAAAAAGACCAGGCTAAGCCAAGCATGGTGGCACACGCCTTTAATCCCAGCACTCGGGAGGTAGGTGAATCTCAAAGGGCCAGCCTGGTCTATATAGCGAGTTCCGGGCCAGCTGGGGTTACAGGGAGACCCTGTCTCAAAAAAAAAAAAAACCAACCCAAAACAACAATCAAGGCTGTTGTACAGAAGAAATATTTTTGAGAGAACTGTTTACATGGCAAAACGTGCATAGGGATGTTTGATGAGTGTACACAGAGGGTTTATGGTCTACTAGTTTTAGAAATGTTTTTAGACACATAACATGTTTGCATGGTTAAATTTAGTGTTCACAGTGAAATCGGGAAACAGAAATAGGCACAAGTATGGAAGAAAATAGTACTGTGGCCTATAGGTTTTTCAAGAGCTGTTGTATGTGTCCTTGCTGCATTTTAAATTTTAAAATGCATTAATATATATACAACATGCAGAACTGTAAAAATCCTCAATGCCAACTTCTAGCATGTATTACTTTTAAAAATAGTCTAACCCAGTTCCTATTTAAGAAAAAGTTTAGCAAATTTGTGATATTTTCTATCAAATTATGGTTCAACTTTAAAAGTACTTTAAAATGGAATTATCCTACTACCTACCTGGTTTACCTTTCAACTATGAAATATATTTTTACCAAGATATAACAAATTCGGCGTCTTATATACCAACTACTCTCATAAACTATTCTTTGTTTTGACTCCTGACCAAATCTGGGAAACTTATCTATAAAGACATCTGCTTTAACTAAATGATGAGTCCTGTCTACTGCTTTCAAAAGCACCAACCTTCTCAAAAACGCTGGATGGAGTCATCAAACAAAACCTGATGTTCTGAATGATGGTATCGGTATGCCTCCAGCGTCTTCTATCATGCCGCAGCCAAGACTGCACAGCCTCGTACAGCTCTATCTCTGGGAACCTGCTCAGATGATCATTATCCAAGTAGGACATGAGCTTCTCAAAGCTCAGATAGGACAGGAAGTCAGGCCTGGACATGAGTGGCACAAAGTTGTCTAGCAGAAAGGCATCCAGCTTCTCCCTGACTCCCTCGATGTTAACACCGAAATCATCTAAGAGTCTCATAATTTCTGCACAATTTTCTAAGCAGATTTTCGCTAACAGAAAAGAGCAGCAGAACTTCACCACTTCTATGAGTTGAACATACATGGCGGCCTGAAGAATTTCATGAACAGTATTCATACTTAGTTCTATAGTTCCATAATACATAAACTGAAGAACATGGCTGAAACCAGTAGCTGTTAGACCTTTCAAGTGAATTTTGTCCTGATCGCGTTCCCTCATATCTGCTGTAAACATAATTCTGAAGTAATCACTCTGGGTGGCCAAAAGTGCTTTATGGGCCTGGAACTGATGATCTTCAATAACCAGAGTGACATCGAGAAGCAATCCCTCCTCATACAGTGCTCTGAACCCAGCAGAGACACTGCTGTCATGGATGGAGGAACAGAATCCTTCCACGTCCCCTGCCATGAATCACCTGGAAAAAAGTAATTAAAGAAGAAAATGGCGTTAATCATGTATTATCTTAAGATTCTTAACAGTCTTATATCTCAAGTCTACTGACAAAGGCCTAAGTGTACAAACCTTTAGAGAGAAGAGGACTTTGTATGAAGTTTTCATACTACTATTTTAGGTTTCCTACCTGGGAAAGAGATTCTATTAAAGATGTATCTACCAAACAATGGTAACTTATCAATTTAACAATGTATGTCTAGATTACTGACTTTACATCAATCATCATACACATATTCTGTAATTAGCAATAAAAAATTTTATAATGAAATATTAAATTAGGGAAAAGACAAAAAATGGAAAATCACACCAAAAAATCCACATGAAAATTCCTAGAAATTCACCCAAAGAAAACAACTGAATAAATATGACAAGTTGTACATACAAAATTTTTTTTCCTAGCATTACTATAAAGAATCTGACACAGTAGCAGGCATCTGCAGTTCCAGCTACTCAAGAGGCTGAAGGAGGAAGATTATTTGAGGGAAAGAGTTCCAGGCCAGAGGCCGGAGTGATGGTTCAGCTGTTAAGAGCACTACCTGCTCTTGCAGAGGACCCAGGTTTGGTTCCCAGCACCCATACAGTGGCTACCAATCACCCTTAATTCCAGTTCCAGAGGATCTGATACTGTCTTCTGGCCTCCGGGGGCACTGCAAGACAGGTGCACATATATACATGCAGGCAACATACTCATACACATAATTTTAAAAAATTAAAGGGGCTGGAGAGATGGCTCAGAAGTTAAGAGCACTGACTGTTCTGGCAGAGGACCCAGGTTCAATTCCCAGCACCCACATGGCAGCTACGAACTGTCCTTAACTCCAGTTCCAGGGGAATCTGAAGCCCTCTTCTGACCTCCACAGCACTGCACAACACAGGTGCACTCACATACATGCAGGCAATATACTCAATACATATAAAAGTAATATTGAGAGAGAGAGAGAGAGAGAGAGAGAGAGAGAGAGAGAGAGAGA